GATGTTGTAATTCTCCTTTTCCTGGCTTTCTTGGAACTCCTTCGTGGTTTAGTTTTGTCCTCAGAGTTTTGTGTGGCACAGCCCTGGTTCCCAGTGTGGAATAACACCTCTTCATTAGCTGAAACTGTTGGGTTGATGATGGCTTCAACAGACTTCACTTCTGAGCGATTTGCACCAGATGCTTTTCTCGTACAAGCTGTTGAAGTTGTCTTTTTCTTCTTGGATCTCCTCCTGGAAGAAGCTTGAAACACAGATGTTGGCTGGAAAGACAGAACTTCTCCGTTGCTAATGTTGCACTGTTCGCTGCCACTGGTTATTTGAGTGAACAATTCGGCTTTTATTGTTAATGCTCGACCACCTTTCCTCTTTATCTTCTTGGCCGCTTCAGTGCTCTCACATGGATGCTCACTGGGTATCTCTGCAGTTGTTGCTGTGCACGTTGCTTCCTTTTGACTCTTCTGAGTAAAATCTGACTCCAGGAAACCTCCTCCATCATCTTGTGTCATCAGGTCATTATGTTCTGTAAATGTTTCAGGTAAAGGTTTTTGTTTGGCTCTCTTTTTCACACCACCTTTTGCCGTCTTTTTTCTTCGGTTCGAGGTTGGTTTCTTTGATGGGTCGACATTGGCTGTTTCTGCTGAGGTATTTTCTAACAGCTCACTGTTATCACGTGTCATTTTTGTATCTTCTTTGAACGCCACAGAGCCAGTTTTTCTCGGCTTCCTTGGCTGTTTTGATGCCGCTGCAGGCGTCGGACACATCAGAGATCCTTGTGTGTTGTCAGATTTCTCGAGCAGGTATGTGGGTGTGTTACACTCTGATTCTGCTGATTCCTTTTTCACTTGCCTTTTCCTGCTGGAACTCGTTTTATGCTTTTCTTTCAATCTGACCTGTGGTGCTGCTGTTGGACCTGAAAATGTTGCATCTGCTGAAATTGTTGAAGAGACAGTGTCTTTGTCACTGTGATTCTCTCTGAGTTTGGGAGAATTTGCCTCACGTGTGTCACTTTGAGACACTGATGTCAACACATCTTCTCTCTGTTTCAACACTAATGACTCACATTCTGCTAATGGTCCATCTGAACATCTGACTTCTGATGTTTCCATTTCCTCCGAATTCCAGCCTTTTGCTATTACAAACAGTTTCGCCATTTTCATGAGAGTTTTCTTTTTGAATCGTCGGCCAGGTTTGTGTTTCTGCTGCTCCTTCATCTGATGAAGAACTGAGTAATACAGCTTCTTCTCTTCCTTGCCCTTTGCGATCAGTGCAGTCTGATGGGGTGTAGTAGGACTATCAGTGTTGGTTTGGTCATTTGGAGGATGGAGCATAAAGTGCTGTGATTCAACAGAGTCTCCTCCATGATATGTTTCTGACATGATTTGGGGCAAAAACTCTGTGTTGTTTTCATCAGGAGAATCCGTCTTTCCGTGATCATCAGTAAAGGAAAAATGCCCAAAGTCTGTTTCTTGTGTTTCACATTGTTTTTGACGGGCTTTATGAGAAGCTCCTGAATCCCTCTGGAGGATATCTGCTGCTGGATTCACCAGAGGAGTCGCTTCTTCAGCCACAGAGTCAAACATTTGGTGTGAAAGCCTATGTGTTTCAGTGTTTTTCTCCGCTTGATCCACTGTGCTTCGACATGAGCCACCAAACCTGAGCTCTGCTGCCTTTTCAGTTTGCTATCAAATGAAGAATCAGAAACACATCAAGTTTAATTTAGCAAATCAGACAACAACAGGTACAGTTTGCTGACAGTAAATCTGAATGTATTAACGGTAAACGTGGAGTCCCACAAGGGTAAATATCAACAATAAATCTACAGAAAAGAGCAATATGCATTCAAATCAAATTATTGCCCTAAAACTTGCAGGTATTGTTTGTGCTGAGATCAGGTGATGATGACCACAGAAAGAAACACATCAGCATATATGTGTCAAAAACAACCTATAATAAAGTGGTTATGTTATAATGAAGATGACTCACCTCTCTTTCAGCAACTTTCTGAACAGGATTTGAGGAAACCTCCAGGATCGTGGTAGTGACAAAGTCCTCTCCTGTCGCCGTCTTGAGTCTCCTCTCATGGTTGGTTTCAGTCTCAGCCAAACAGAAGTCCAAACTGCTGCTCTCATTGCATCTCTCCACCATGTTGTCAAAAGACTAGAGGAGCAGATATCCACCTAATGTCACAAAATAAAAACAGAAACCAATACCTATTGGTCTTTTGCAATTTAAACAAATCAGTGCATTCAAAAAAGTTTAATTAACTACACGGCAGATGAAGTTAATGCAGTGTCAATACAGAAATCACCTCCTCACCTCCAGGTTCTTCAAGTAAAAAAATTCACTTATTTTCTGAAAAACTTGGCTTATTGCTTCATAACAGACCACATATCCCAATAATTACATTGCACACAAATGTGTACTTAGAAAAAAAACATTATTTTTGAGCTTGGTGGCTAAATACTGCACTGAAATTTGGTTGTGTGTGACACTTTAGGTTTGTCAGATTTGGTCTGTGTTATATTATTGACAGATCTGAATTTTTTGCACAATATTAACATATCTGATGTTAGGTTTACACATCAAGATTTTTTTCATCAGCAATAGAACTGTATAATATCTTCAGTGGCTTTAAAGGAGGTTTTATAGCCATTAATACAGGTCAAACGATCAGATGCATTCTGGGACTGGTAGGCCAGTGTTTTTGGAGCTTGACCCACACCAGGGACTGTAAGTCTAGCCATGTGACACATGCAAGTTGCCTAACTTTGTGGAAGCATAGTACTAAAGCGTATAAAGTATTTACAGTCTTAAAGTAAAGTGGAGAATCAGGTGAAGCTAAAATGTGTGTTGACTGCCTTTGCTAACTGCTCACAAAGTCATACAACTGATTCAAAGACAAATGTAAAAATGCTAACAGTTTGTATTTTTCAGATAAACGAGTGTGTTTTGTAAAGCTGCTCAAACTTTAGTTACTATTTCAAAATGTCACAACATAGTGATTGTGTAGTTTCTAACACTGACATATATGCTTTTTTAATTTAGTCTTTTATCTGCTTAGAGGTACATTCACTTGTAAAGCTGCTAATCTGAGCAAACTTTATTCCTTTTAGTTTATATTTGTTTAAAACCCACATTGTTTCTTTTATAGCTTACTGTAATTCCTTTAGTGTCTTATGTTACACATTTGAATGACCTCATTTCCTGAAGGTGCTAATTTCCCTGTTACAAAAAAAAAACAACAACAATAAAAACCAAAAACACTGTTATTACACGTTAGAAACGGCCACTTAAGCAATGTTAAAAATGCAGTAATATCACATGAATCTAGGACTCCATCCTGTTTCTGTTACCTTGTCATGGAACCGCTCAGCAGGCTGTTATTTGTGTGCAGAGATCTGTTAATTCTAAATGCACAGTAATAACTCAAAAATGCATTCAAACCTAAAATATTTGCATGCAATACCCAAAACCTAAAAAATATCGCTCACTGTCATAAACACACTGGTGGTCGGTGACACGGAGCTGAAAACTTGCAGCTACCGTGAGACTCAGTGCTATTGTGCAGGTTAAAGCTCCTGGTTGGACCGTGTTCTTACCGTGTAATAAACCAGGATCAGAGGGCTGATGCTCCGCAGCCGATGAACTCGTAATATCCGCTATAACCATGAAATAATGCCTAATCTGCAACGCATTTTTTTTTTTTTTTGCCTTTATTTTTAAATTTAATATAGAAGTAGAAATTACAGGTAAAGTTAAATATGGCTGCTGTGAAATAGTTTTGGAAAAAAAGACCGCTATGAAAATGCTCATTTAATAAATGGCCTATTTAAGATTTTACTTTAATAGTTTACAGCAGAAAGGAAATATTATTTTAATTTGCAGAAAATTGAAAGTGTTGTAATATCATATGCTTATGGCTTATATTGACTATTGGTTTTACATTAAAATTAGACAGCTCTGAAAAGCAGCTTCACAATAACCTGCACACTACAATTTTTGTGCTTTCTCTTTTTTTAAAGACTTTTCAGATATAATTAACAATTCTTTTGCATACCACGAGGAGGGATCTAAGAAACTGTTCTAAGAGACTATCAACAGTTTTGTGTAGCTAAGTAGGCTACATTACAAGTACAGTACTTAAATACAGTTTTGATGTAGACCTAGCTGTACTTTATTTGTGTATTTTCTTTTTTGGCTACTTCATACTTCATATTCACCACATTTCAGAGATTAGCCTAATATTTTTACTCCATTACCTATATTTGACAACTTTGATTACTTTACAGAATCAGATTGATCGCCGGGCGGAAGTTCACAAGCTGCCCAGAATGTGATACACATTAACGTGAAATATGCCCTCCTGCATAATGAGTACTTTTACTCTTGATATTTTTCGTATATTTTGATGCTAATACTCTAATGCTAATACTTGATCGCAGGACTAACTTGCCCACCGCACGTACAACCATGGCACGGTGAAGCCAAACTATCTGTCTTACGTCATTTGCAAATCCAATCATATTTCTTCTTACTTTTCTTTCAGCCAATAGAATCAAGTCAGTGAGGTCTGTTACACCCCTTTAGTTTGTCGCAGATCACTTGGCATCTCCAAACATTAGAGCCAAAGTAGCGACATTAATATTTTCTCCTGGTTGTTGAAGTCTGTGACGATGAGCAGCTTTTGTAGAGAAGTCATCACTCTTCAGCTGGGACATTATTCAAATTTTGTGGGGACTCATTGGTGGAATTTGCAGGTGAGGAACACTGTAACGGCTAACGCTGAACTAGCTAGCTAGCGTTAGTTTGCATGTGTTGTCAAACTACAGAGACTTGCTCTGAATTGTAGAGGTAAGAACATGAATGTGCATATCATGGCCATTTTAACAGACCGAGGAGATGCGGTATACTTAGTCACCAGGTTTTAAGGTGCTAAAATCCCATTTGTAGACTCAAATGAGTGACGTTTTCTTGCAGATACAGATTAGTCACCTAACAGAATAATACTAATTAGGATTAGGTCAAATGACAAAAATTGGCTGCTGTCTAAATGATTTTCATTGCGTTGCATGTGCCCAACACAAATGGGCTAATCAGAAACCAAAGCTACTGCTGCAGTGGTAAACAGCATAACATTGCAAACAGTCCAAACCTCTAATGGAAGTTGCCGCATTAAGGTTCCCTTCCTGCAACCTAAAATATTTTAGGTTGGGGGTAATTGTGTGTTAGATGCAATTGTATGCGACAAGCAACTGTAAATCGTGTGGGTGGGTGCCTTCACAGTCCTCTGACTTGAACATGCTGTGTGTGCAAAATATATTAGAGCTTGAAATGACCTGCAGAAATGAATGGGTGCGAATTCCTAAATCAGGAAGAAAGAATTGTAGTGGTAGATAAACAGAGAGGATCTTCTCTGTGTTTGCAGGATGCCTCTTTATCATATGATCACGAGACACCACCAGGTGAGATCCAGAGTGATGCTGTGTTTCGTGAAGGACAGACTCCGGGAGGACACATCACCTACACACCTCGCCTCATCGCTATGGATCTCAAAGGTAACCTGTTCTGTCACGTTCCTCTGAATCCTAAATGATGTCGATGGCAGAAAGTTTGCCCAGTTTTTCTTGATTCTTTGATTTGAATATTTACTAGTCAGCATAGTTGTTTCACATAGTGACATATTGCATATCTCTGCTGGTCTCTGCCTGTCGCTCTCTGTCTGTAACAGGAAGTCTTCGGACACTGCGGCAGGAGGGACATCTGTATGATGCTGGCAAAGACACCTCTGCTGTCACATGGTAAACGAGAACACTACTGCCTGTGTGTTCAGAACGTTATGCCCAGTAGATCAATAAACTGACAAATGTTTGTTTTTCTGTGACACGGCACATGAAATCCAGTCTGCTTAATATAAAAATGTGCTCGTCGTTTCAGGGAAGGAAACCTCACAATGCATAAAGAAAGTCCTCCTGCAAAGAACGCCTTTCTTGAAACTTTGGACAAGTTGGATGTGAGTACTTATGGCGGAAATGCAGCTTAAGGATACATTATGTACATAGTGTGTGAGTAGCCTGAACCACAAGCATCTGGGCAGCAATAAACATTAAAATATCATTTTTTAAAACACTGCTTTTCACTGTGTAACATTTAGAACATGGAAATCACAAGACAATACTAGACAGGAGTGGGTATGGACCCACCAAGAGTGAGAAAGGAGATGGCAATTAATAAAATAAAATGGAAATTAATTTGATTACAAGTTAACTAAATAACATTTAATTACAGAATTACCACTTTGCAGTTGTATGCCTCCGCCAACTAGTCGAATTCATGGGAATGGGACAAATGGGAGGTCACAGTGACCAGTATTTGGTCCCAGTAATCAAGAGGAGTACACAGTTAATCTTATGATTCCACTTATCTCAGGTTGTGGCTCGATTAAAGTGATTTAATAGACTTTACCTTGAAATAAACATTTACATAACCTATCTGCTGTCTTTGTTTCTAGAGGGGGGAGATACTCGCTGAAGCTGATTTTTCCTCCAGCTCCCAGCCTCAGTGTTCAGGTGAGTAAAACCTTTATCAAGCTCCACGTGAAATACTATGTCACAACAGTTGAGCAGAGCAGTCACCATGTCTTTCACTCTGAAAACTCTCCCAGCAGCAGGTTCAGTGAGCGTGGATACAGTGAACAGCCGGCTGGCTCAGATCCAAAGGGGCTACAGGCTGGAGGGCATCGTGAGAGTGTGGTCCGACTTCCTCAGGATCCACCTGCACCCTCGGACCATCTCCGTCATCCACCAGTACAACCACGACGGGTAAAGTACGACACCAGGTTGCTTACGCTTTGTTAAACAAAATGAGGGTTTTCTGCTACTAAGACTGATTCACACAGCCATGTAGATTTAATTTCAAAGTAACATTATGATTCAAATTCATGATGGCAAACATGTTTACAGTTTCAGTCTAAAAACACAGGAAGTCTCACATCTATTGGTGAAAGCAGAGGTCAATAATAAGCCAAGTTAAGTCAGTATAGGCCCATATCACACATCGCATATTTGCCTCAAGGTGCTTTGCATTCTGTACAGCATAAGACACCCTCTGTCATTAGACCCTCAACCATAATTAAACACAGTGAGAGTGCAAAGAGAGTCAGGCTACGTCCCTTAATGATCCATTCCTGTCTTTGTGTGTTGATGGTTCACGTTCATGTTTGTGACATGTCTAGCTCGGGTGTGAACACCTCTAAGCCCCTGAACTGCTACATGTGCAGATTTAACTGAAGTCTGGGCCATCTGGCTACTCTGACAGAGTTTGAATGGTCAAGGATAAGATATGAATCAGACCTACAGGCACATATGGAAGCATGTAAAGCCTAAAACGCAGAGACCAGTCAGTCGGGGTCTGATAGTTCAGTGGCTGCCTTTCACCACTAGATGTCAGGCTTTACACAGACTTTAGCTGGAGTAATAACACTGACTCACTCACTGTGGGCTGTCTTTGAAGTGTGATGCACTACTAGCTGTACCTTGAGTAATGGTGTCAGAGCAGGTGTTTTGCTTTTGACAGCTGAAAAAAAAACATAGGTGTGGACAGATTATACAAACTATGGATTTACTGTGGGTAAGAAGTCTTAAGTGTGAGTATCATTTCATTCTGGGTGAGCAGGGAGACTCATCGTCTGGAGGCTTTCGGCCAGGGAGAGGCTCTCCTGCAGGGCTCGGTGCTCGAGGAGCTGGAGGACAGACTGCACTTCTTTGTAGAGGAGTGCGATTACCTTCAGGTAACTCTGCTGTTCCATGCTTTTCTTTGTCTTTATCTTGTTAAACATCCATTTGTATTGTAATATCATAAAAAGATGTAGGGTAGTCAAGTTTTTCCTAGTCCTTACTGTCCCAGCCACAAAAATGTACAATTATCCACAACACAACATTCTGCTGTCTACATTAATCCTCTCTGTGCATGTGGTTTTCCTCTCAGGGTTTCCAGGTGTTGTGTGACTTAGCTGATGGCTTTGCAGGCCTAGGGTCAAAGGTCACAGAGATGCTACAAGACTCCTACAGTGGGAGAGGTATCCTGACCTGGGGGTTGGCACCCGTCAGTCACCCAAACTCAGTGAGTTGGCTAACTCAGCGGCTGTTTTATCCTCTATCGTAGCCTAGAGTTTGTAAAAATGTGTGGTTTGTGTCCTTGCAGACCCCAGTGAAGGACCTCTATCGCCTGC